GCTGGTGGCTGCACCTGGCTCTCAAGGAAGCGCCGGACCCTGTGGAGGTCTGGGTAGTAGTCGTTTCGGACGACGATCTGCAGCCAGCGGATGCGGATCTCGGCGTTCATCGAGTCCAGCAGGGAGGAGTAGCACTTGGACAGGCTCATCACCACCTCTGCCGGCCACAGGCAGGTCAGGCCAGCCGGCCCCTCCCCTCCCCCACTACCCTGGTGGCTGCAGGACTCACCCTGGGGCAGCGGGGACCCGTCCAGGAGCCGGTCCAGGAAGAGCGCTGTCTGGAAGGTCCTCCACTTGGAGATGTCGATGGTGCTGGCGGACGCAGCCGCCTGGTCCAGGGGCTCCGCGGTCCACAGCTGGAAGAGGGCCTCCACGGGCCGGGTCAGGCTGGATCCCTGAGACAGGTCTGGCTCGGCCAGCGGGGGGCCCGTGGCATTCAGCCAGCGCTCAAACTCCAGTCCTGCAGGGAAGACACCACCCTGGGGTCCCGAGCAGGCCTGCCCGGGAGACCCCAGACCCCGAGGGTGTGCCTGGGTGTGACTGTTCCGGGTCTGGGAGCGCCGAGGGCAGGGGCTGTCTGGGGACGGCCGGGGTCACCTCCAGCCCCTGCCACTCCAAACCACTGGGGTGGCTTCGGCGAAGGGGCACAACAGAGGCTCGAGCTGGTGACTGAGGGCCCCCCCAGCCCCTCCACGCCTCTCCTGGGTAGAAGACGAGGCACTGTAAGCCCTTGGAGGGGAGGTGGCGGGATAGGCTCTGCCCCACGAGGGGGTCGGGGGCACCACCCTGGGAAAAGGATGTTCCTGCTTTAAAACCCTGGAGCTGGGCAGCCGTGGGGGCAGGTTCTGCCCATCGGCCGCTCTCAAAAGCCCTTGGAGCACTTACCAAACCTTCCCAAACACGGGGTCCCCCTGCCCACACCTTCCAGCCACACCTCACGTGGCTATAGCAAGCCCTGGCTTCTCCCTAGACGTCAGACCCTCCAGTCTCTTCTTTGGCCCCCAAGCCCTTGGACCAGGGACAGCCCCACGAGCCTCACAGCAGGCCGGCTGCCTTCAGCCAGCTCTCAGGCAAACCTCTCTCCGTGTCGCAGATCCTGCCCCAGGCCCTTTGCACAGTTTCCGGGGACCTCTTTCTGGGACTGCTTAATCAGGTCTGCCTGGCCTAAGTGCCACCTCCACGCTGGGAAGCACACCCTCCTCTCTGCTCCTATGGCGTCCAGCCCGAGGCCCACACTGTCCAGCGAGGGTGGCTGCAGGAAGGATGGATGAACCCGAGGGAATTTCTTCCAGGCAGAGGGGTCATCTTGTGCGGTGGAGCCCACACACCCGCCGCCTCCCTGGCAGGCTAAGGGGCAGCCGGCTGCGGACCCGCGGCAGGCGGTGGGCCTCACCTGCCCGGCAGTCCACGCTCTGCTCCTTCAGCTCCGGGAAGAACGTCAGGAAGGAGTCCAGCAGGTCCTGGGCTACCACGCTGGCGAACTTGTACTTTTCCACGTAGGCCTGCAGGGCAGGGGCAGGGCAGGGCTCGGTAGGCCTGGGGGCTGGGCGCACCGTCCCCATCCCACCGCCCGCGCCACAGCCGGGGCCTGCACGGCTGGAAAGGGCTGCTGCACCGAGGCGCCTGCACAGAGCGCTGTGCAGGGCCCAGGGTGGCGCGGAGGCACCCACTGCTGCCACACGGGCCCTGCCAAGTGGTCAAAACTGGGAGGGAGGGAGGACGGAGAGGAGGAAGCACCCCAGGCACTGCCCGGAGAGAAGGCCGCGTCCCAGCTCCGCTCACAGGCCCCCGCCACTCTGTCCCCACCACCAGGAGAGAAGGGCAGCCCTGGGAGTTGGGGTAGAGAAGAGGGGGCGTACGGGGCCTGTCTCGGGGAGGCGGCTGCTCACTCGGAGAAAGCCGTCGAAGCGCTGGGCATCCCCGCAGAGCTGGGACAGGTAGTACACGAAGCAGTAGCCCTTCTCGTAAGTGAACAGGTTCATCAGGTGGCTGGGATTCACCCCTGCAAGGGGAACACCCGTGGCTCTGGGCAGCGCCCCGACCCTCCCACGTCCCGAGGGACGGGGGCAGGATGGCGGCCAGGCGCTGTGTGGGACGGGAAGCGCTGAGGGCCGCCGTCCCTCACATCTAGATGTGCTAGGAGTGTGGAGACGGGGCCCGCCTTACCCGGGGGGCCTCGGTGGAGGCCTCGGTCCACACACCACGGTGACGGGTGCTCAGAGCCCGTGAGAGGCAGTGGCGGGCTGAGGGGCCCCTGACCTGGCCTCTGCGGGGATGCCACGGTGGGGACAGGCACGCCCGGCCAGAGTTAGCCTGGGCTGGGCAAGGAGGCCCTGCAGGATGACGTGTCCAGGGCCCGGGGCAGGGCCGGTGGGAGTGGGTACCTGGCTCCAGCTTGACCTGCAGCTTGCTAACTGGGCTGTCCTCGCCGAGGAGCTTCATCTGCCTGTGCAGGGCGTCCAGGCGGAAGGCTGTCTCCAGACAGGTGAAGGCAGCACCTGGACGGGGCAGGCGCGAGGCTGCTGCCCTTGCGGCTCCCTGCCCTGAGCCTTGTGGAGATGACCCCTGGCCACCCGGCTGGACACATGCACGGCAGGGGGACCACACCCCAGGGGCCAGGCTGGGCTCCCAGCCCCTCACACAATGCCCGGATGGCCCCGGTGGCCCAGCCTGCAGGAGGCCCCGGCGGTGCCCTCGCCGCCCCGCCCCAGCCCGGGTGGTACCGTAGGTCTCGGTGGTGATGCGCCGCTGCGCGTAGGTGGCCAGGCCCTCGCTCAGCCACATCTCCTCCCACGTGGCGTTGGTGACGGCGTTGCCGAACCAGCTGTGGGCCACCTCGTGGATGACGTCGATGATCAGGAACTCGTCACTCTCCAGGATGGAGGAGATGATGAAGGTGAGGCAGGGGTTCTCCATGGCCACAATGGGGAAGGAGGGGGGCAGGAAGACGATGTCATACCTGCCCAGGGTGGGGGGTGACCGTGAGAGGGCCGGGGCCCGGGCAGTGAGCATCACTTCCTTCCCAGGAGGTCAGACAAGGCCCCCCACCATGGGCTCCCGCTGCTTCCTGGTAGGGTGGGGACTTGCCCTCTGACCCCTCCTGCAGTCAGCCAGGCTCCCAGGGGCCCCAGGACGTACCTGCCCCACAGGTAGGGCCCGTAGAGGCGCTCGGCTGCGCTCAGCCACTGCTCCACCGCGCCGGACAGCTTGCTGGTGGCCGTGGGCAGGAGGCATGGCTCAGCCCACACGCGGCTCCTGTCACAGGGGCGAGGGTGGGTGGGGGCCGGCCAGTCCCCATCCCTCTCACCCCACTAGGCCTTCCCTCTGCTTCTGAACTCGAACACCACCTGCACCTAGTCTGGCCTGGTCCACCGCCCAGCTGCTGCCTGCCGCCCTGCCTCACTCACTGCCACCACGCAGGCCCTTCCCTTAGTGGGGGCCAGGCCACACGCAAGGGGCCGCTGGCTCCTTCTGTCTCTGAGTCAAGGGAGCCCGCACAGGTGTGAGGCTACGTCCAGCGGCAGCCCGGCCTGGCAGGAGGACCAGCTTGCACAGAGCGCTGGGGAGGTCGGAAGCCCAGCCTCCGGGTCTGGGGGTGCACGGGAGTGAGCGAGCTCCTCTCTCACGGACAGGGGCGGCCCCGGGGAGTGGCGACATGGCACGTGGGGTCGGTCCTCCGGCGGGGCGCTGCAGACGCGGGCCGCGCACCCGGCCCACGGTAGGATCTCCCCGAGGCCTGGACTCCGGGCAGCAGCAGCTGCAGGAAGCAAGAGGCGGCCCTACCTGGGCCCGATGTCTGCCGGCTGGAGGTCCCCGGCCACGAGGGCCACGAGGTAGGCGGGCACGGGGTGCTCCATGTGGAAGCGGTAGACGCCCTCCTCCTCCACGTAGGTGCTCTGTGTGGCACTCATCAGCACCTGCACCCCCGACGGGGCCTGTGTTCGGGGAGGCCCCACCCATCAGGGCACCCCGTGTCCGCGACGGGGAGCCCCACGCCCCGTCAGGGCACCCCGTGTCCCCAGTGGGAACTCCACAGCCCGGTCAGAAGCCCCACGTCTGTGGTAGGGAACGCCACGTCCCCGACGGGAAGCCCCGCCACCTGGATCAGGTAGCCACGTCACTGTCGGGGGCCCCCTCAGCCCCATCAGGGGTCCCCCCACCCTCTTCGGGGAACCCCACGCTCCTGGTCTGCACACCTCTTGCCCCAGTCGGGAGTCGGGTGGGCGTAGGGGTGCTGCCACGCTCAGGCCAGGAGCCCTGGGACCCAGCGACTCCGTCTGTGCCCTCCCCTCGTCAGGGTCCTGTTGGCTCATCCTGGGTCCAGGACCCCGAGCCTATCAGGTTGCCCCTCCTGCACAGTGCGGAGGGTGGGCTCCTCCTAGAGCAGTGGTCCCGGTGGCAGCCGGGGCCAGGCTCGGGCAGGCGAGAGTGCGGGCCGGGGCTGCGGGCGCTGACCTTGACGACGGCCGAGTAGGTGCACTTGACGGCGGGCGTGTCGAAGCACGGAAAGAAGGAGCGGTTGCAGACGGAGTGGCCCTGGGTGAAGACGAAGGGCTTGGCGCTGCCGTAGGTCAGCTCTGGGCCCAGCCACCAGATCTGCGGTGGGCGGACGCGGGGGTCAGCCGACGGCCCCTGGGCTCTGGCCAGTGACGCCCCCCCCCGGCACGTGCGCTGAGGCCTCCTGGAGACCAGAGCTGCCAGCTGCCAGTGAGGCGGGGGCACCCGAGGCACACGGGGGATGGGGGGAGCCTGGGGGCCCTGCCCCACAGAGAGCAGCACGTGGGGATGCCAGAACACCCCTCCCTGCCCGCCCAGCCTTGATTCCTGAAAGCTAGGCAGAGCCTCTGGAGAGGGCAAGGCCTTGGGAAGTGGCCCCAACCCCCCTGTCCTGCTCAGGCTTCCAGGCCCAGGGCTGCTGGGGCAGCGGCTGGCGAGGGAGGGAATCAGGAAGGGCCCAGGAGGGGATGGCCCGACTGGGCTCATCCAGGGCCAACAGCAGCTCCTGGGCACCATCGCTTGCCCGCCCTGGGCAGGCAGGGCAGCTGCCACAGAGTGTGGCCTGTGCTTTGCCACCAGGGCCAGGCCTCTCTCCAGGTGGGAGGCCAGGCACCCAGGGAGTCCCCCAGCCTGTGCCCCTCATGCCAGCTGCCAGAGAGAAATTGAGACGGTCAGAGCACCTGAGTCCAAATTCTCACAGGCAGGAGCGAACCCGGTCTCAGCCAGGAAAGGGAGCCGGGAATGTGGACGTATGGGGAAAGCAGTGCTTTCTGGTGACCCCCACGTACGCCTGAGCCCAGGGCCACCCCTGGAAATGGGGCAGCCTCACAGGGAGGGACCCCCCCACGGGGAGAAGGGCTCCCGGCCAGGGCCCGTGGGCAGGGAGCTCAGGCCGGGCTCTCGGAGAGGTCGCGCGGGACAGGAGCAGCCCGGGGGGAGGGCCGCTGGGGCCACGGCCGGAGCACTGTGGACAGACCCCGCAGCGGCCACCAGCGCCCAGCCACCCACCTCCCGGGCGGGGAGGCACTGGTGGGTGCCTCGCTCATCTGCAAGACGGACGGGGACCTCTGCACAGGACCCGACACCACACACGGTGTCCTCGGGAAGGGCAGCCGTCGGGGGTGGGCATGGGCTCAGGGCAGGAGTGGGGAGGATGCCCTTCAGGGCTTCTGCACAAGGAAACGGCCCCCGCCTGGAAGATGCCTCCACCGCACAGTGCCGGTGGCCCGGGGAGGCCACGGGGGGCCGAGGATGGGGGTGCTCTTCGATGCCGTGCCGCCTACCTGCTTCCAGGCCTGCCGGACACTGTCGCCCTCTCAGCCAACCTCCCCCCAGATGCCAAGGCCAGGCCCCACCACCACTAGGGAGCCCTCCCTCGCACCCTTGTGCCCACCACTGCCCCCAGCCTCTCTAGGGCCATTTCAAGACACCCCCTCTAACTCTGGCCAAACATTCCAGGGTCTCCAGGAAGGTCAGCACGGAGCCTCGGGGAGCTCCCCCAACCCAACCGCAGCCATTCTGTGGGGCCCCAAATCTGCTCTCACGCCCCCTCTGCCGGAACGACACGATCGTTGAAGCCAACTGGACTGTTCCTCGTCCCCACTTCAGGGACCGAGCGCACGCAGGTTCTCCCAGGGCCATTATGGAAGGACCCTAGTCCCCTGCAAGTGACAGGTCTGAGCAATCTACAGCTGATGGTGTCGACAGAGGTGGAGGACCCCAGACCCAGTGGGGCTCCCTACCCCGCAAACCCCAGACCCCAGACCCAGGAGGGGACTGCCTCTCCTGTAGACCCCAGATCTTAGCAGATGCCCAGGCTCGGCTGGGCTGCCTATCCAGTTCCTGCAGACCCAGCCAGACCACTGTCGGCGTTCACAGACGTCTTCAAAACTTCCTTTGGGCCGCTATGTCTCTGTTCTCTCACGGTGAGGAGTCTGTAGTGGTATCTTCCTTTTCTGCTGACCCCTAGGGCTGCCCCAGATGTTCAGAAGGCCTGTCTGGGGAGCCTGTTCAAAAATGCAGACTCCTGGGCCCTGCCACAGAGCTTCCTGGGGCTGGGACCCAGGAATCTGCATTTAATGAGACTCCCCCAGCAGTGAGTCCTTCTGCAGGTAGCCCTTGGCTCATGCTGGGGACAGGCCGCCATGGTCAGGCTGCTGGGGATACGGTCAGGCCCCAAGGGTGGCCTGTTATGGACCCTAGTCCCACCACTCTGCCAGCCTTGGGCGGACCAGACACGTGGGCTCCAAGTTCACAGATCAAGGTCAGGGAGGATCATACCCCTCTGTTCTCATGGCTCTGGTGGGAGGCATACATGACGCTGTCAGAGATCCAGGCTACCCCAGCAGGTGCCAACCCAGCAGGCCAGAGGCCAGGCCAGCACACCCACCGAAGCTCACAAAGGAGGTGAGGTGGCAGCTGAGGGCTCCTGGGAATCACGCAGGAAGCCCGTAGGTGTGTGTCTGCTCTAGGATCTTCCTGTCCAGGTAGGTGTGTGTCTGCTCTAGGCTCTTCCTGTCCAGATGTCACCTTGATGGCTCCTGACCTAATGCCTCTGTGCCACCTGTGCATCACTGTATCCATTTACATGCCGTGGGCACCGACACATGGAAACTTCTGGGGCCTCCCAGAGCTACGTGTATGTTGTGTGTGTGTGTGTGTATATGTGTGTGTGTGTGTTTGGAGGGGGGGTAGTGTCACAAGTGTGCTGTCCACACGGAGACCCAGGAACCCCCACGCTGCCAGAACGGAAGGTCCTGCTCCATCCTGAAAGCCCTCCTATGGTGGAGGGGTGCTACAGCCACAGCATCCAGCCTGGGCCACGCAGCCTTC